CTAACCATTACACCTCATCGAAGTGTACTCCTGAGGAAGATCTTGAGAGACGTCGAAATTACTTGGGTAAGTAAAAATCTACGGCGCCTTCCTTGATGAATATATATATATATATATATATATATATATATTATAATAAAAATATTTTAAATCATTATACAAAGCCTTTCATGCTTCAATACTTATGATTGTACTTCCCCAGGCAATTGTTAGTAACTGGTGATAAAATGATATTTAGGGAAATTTAAAAACATATCGTTGCCTCCTTTCCGAAAGTTAAGGTCGGGGGGGCATAAGGTCAGAAATTAAAAATAGACTTGTGGGTATGGATTTAATCCATTTCCTATATATATATATATATATATATATATATATATATATATAGGGAGATAGAAAGTTCTCTTTTTGTCTTTATTCATATTGTCCTTTTACAGATAGATTCTATCTGAAAATTTTGCATACACACACACACATATATATAAATATTTTTGCATTCCTTCTTTCTTTTATCGCATGTGAAACAAGGCCATATTTTTTATAATACTTGTATAAAAGATTGCCAGGATACGGACCGTGGATAAGGGTTAGATTGAGAAGATACAGGTAAAAGGTACATGAAGTGTAGAAGAACGAGATAATGAACAATTGTAGGTGTCAACAATGGTGGGGTTTCTATGGGTTCAACAATCTATTATTTAAACAAAAAATAATCACAGCCAAAATGTCCTTAATATCACTATTTTGTTAAGTTTATAATCATGAATAAATGTTTACGATTAGATATGAAATATACATATTGTAAATATTTGATAAGGTATTCACACATTTTGGTGACACTTAATATTTAAAATGACCATCGAACGTGTGTATTTTATGTTTAAATCTGAATAGCCTGACAATAATTATCGGTGACTTTCAGGTGGGACCGAAGAGATTTTAACGTCGTTAAAGACAATTTAATTTAACAGTCGATAAAAGCGTGTCCAGACCTGACTAAGCGAGCAATTCTCTTTAAAGAGACATCACGTGATTTAGCAAAGAGATTTCCTATTCTTTTTTCATTAATGGAAATACCTTTTGACCGTAGGGGTATATCACGTTGAAACATGCATCCTCGTCTGATCTCCGAAGTTAAGCAACGTTGAACCTGATCAGTACCTAGACGGGTGAAATCTGAGGAATTCAAGGTGCTGTAAGCTTGAATGAACGGATGGTGTAATAGCTCTAGACTCAGAATGAAAAATCGGAGAGCCGAGTTCAAATTCCAGTCGGATTCGTTATATTTACTTACATGCAAATACCTTTAGGAAAGATATGAATCCACCTTTTCTTCCCCAAGCTATAGGTTAAATAGTAAGACTTGTAACAGAAAATCATTTTTATCTTAAAAAAAATTACAATCTCAAAATATGTTTCAGTTTTAAATAACCTCAAACTGGTTGATAATCCGTAAAAAAGAAATCTTGTCTGTTGCGTTAAATTTCACAATAATTTCCATTGGGAAATCCATCTCTTATTAACCCTTCTATGGGTTAAATAGGAATGTAGTCTCGGCTATCTTTCTTACCGTGGGTAGCAACCAATCTAGGAGAAAGAAAAATGGAGAAGGTACCTGGAAACTATTCTACTAACCTTCCCAATAAATCATGGCAATTCACATAGAACAGATAAATAATCTGTAGGGAGTCATGATCTCCTACACTGGCATTAATAAAAATTAAAAACAATTCCTTTAAGCTAAGCCATATCTCGCCAAATAATTATATTAAAAAAAAATTATATTCTTAGACAAACATTTTAAAACTCCATTTTATTTCCTTTTTTTTTAAATGAAAAGGGCTAAAATCTCAATAGCATAAAAATAAAATGCGGTCTTCACTTCAATGCATCAAATTTATTAAAAGCAGTTTAAAATTTCTATTAATTTCAATATAAAGTGGTATTTTGGAGAGTCACCTTTCGCCTTGATAAGCGCTTCAGTACAACGAAACATTTTGGTTATAGGACTTTGACAATATTCTGCTGAAATCTCAACGGTCTGCATGTCACTGATATCATTCACAAGGGCATTGTGATTAATTGGTTATTTGCAACCTTATTCTTCATGTAATCTACCAAATTTCTCATGGAATTCCAAATTAGTGACCTTGACCAAAATGTGCTTGTAGTCTCTTTGCTTTGTCACATGGTGCAACATCATGCACAAATGTGTTGCAACCATGTATGCACATGTGAATCTCTAGTTTATCCTACAACAGTTCCAGATACATTTTTATTTTTTATTCATTTAATTTATTTTATAGGTTTAAATTTTATTTTATTTTATTTATAATTTTCATCATTATTATTATTTTATGTTTTATTTTTATTTATAATAATAACAAAGTTCCCGCAAACTTCAATCTTTGGTCCGAGATTTCCAACTCTCAGTATTCTTCTTCGTTTAATGCTACCATCTTGGCTGACTAGTCCAGAAAATCAATTGCCACACGCGAAAATGATCTGAAATAATTTTGGTGCAAATTATTATTGCCTCCACTCCCCCTACCCCAACTTAAAGGCTAACCCGCGACTCAAAAACACTTTGGTGACGTGTTAGGCTTCATTTCAACAGGGAATTCCTTTACCCCCTTCCCCCCAAAAAAAACAGCTAAGTAAATAATATTTACCTAAATAAATAAACGGCAAATTTTGTCTGTCTGTCCGTGTGACAAAAATCCCTCTAACTCGAGCCAACTTTTTTAGTCATGGCAAATATTTTTTTATATTTATTACCCCCGCCCCACCTCACACCATAACTAATTTTCTAGAAATTCAATACTGCTCAGTTTAGTGATTATATTAGTTAAAAGCACAAGGCTTTGAGGAAAGCAAATGATGTTTTTGTTTTGTTTTTTTTTCAGTCGGATCCCCCCCCCTTACCTGAAAATCAGCTCTGAATTGTAACATACAAAACTCAATAAAACAAAGATATTATTCAATTTCAAATGCTTTTAGTTACTTTTAGTTGTTTTTATGTATATGAATAATATTGTCTGAAAGCAAAAAAACTTTTTCGATGAAAAATAAATTTTTAAATCAATTATTTGTTATCTATTAAATCATTTTATTATTTTTACATTAAAGTTGTTAAATATTATAAAATTCGTGAAAACGGTGTTCCGTTTATTCAATGGTGTTATTAAGTAGATCTAACTTTTAGCATTATAAGTTGTATAGCTTATAACAATCAGAAAAGTCACACTGTATAACAATCAGAAAAGTCACACTGTTTGTTTTTGTGTCCATGAAACGGCTGTAATTCAAATGTACGGAAGACCAGCAAGAATACAATAAAAAGTTGCGTTGTTTGAGTTAAGCGTTGTTCTCCGCTGTTACAGCTTTTATTTTTGCGAATTGTTCATGCGAAATACGTGTGGAGAAGTTAATTTGATTTTTCAATTTCAGCTGAGAAAGGTACCTACAAGTATTAGTATCATCTTATGAAATTTATATGATCTTATTTTTATATTATCGCAGTTATGACATTTTTCCATAAATGAAATATCAAAATTAATAATAAAATGAATGGAAATACAAATAATACAGTAAAATGTAATAAATGTACATAAAATTATAGTATTTTATGTACACTTCTGATAAAATTTCATAAGAAAGGTACCTATAAATTAATTAGATACCTTTCTTATGAAATTTTATCTCACTCTCAACAATCTTATTTTAATTTTTTATAATTTTCCATGAAGCATCGTAAACGTAAAGGTGAAAGCTAAGTACAAAAAATATTAGAGCGATGAAACTTCTTAAAAATAACGAGGTAAATAAGTTGGTTCACGTAAAACTAAATAATTATGTCACTTCTGTCCTTCTGTACTGTAACTTTCCCTTACGTAAGCTGTCAGTACGTGATGAAATCATGAATCATCACTCATCAAGTGTCACCAAATGTTAAGACCTGCTTTGTCTTACTTTTATACATTTTTGTTCGGCGCAGAAAGTAATGTCTGTTTCAAAATATTTTAAATAAACATTATAATTTCTAATTTTCTTATAATTGATTTTTAAAAGAATTTTAAACGGAGATTTTCATTTTGTTTATAAAATGGAAAAATAAATTTTGCTGATAAAAAAAAAACAAGATTTTTAACGAAAATTTCGGACGTGCTAGGAACGGTTAAAAAGTAAAAAAACAAAAAACAAATTACTTTGATCTTTCCTATTAATAATAACCAACATTTAGACAATAAAAAATATTTTCATCAAATTTAAGGTCCTTTTTATTCATGCTACGCTCTTTTTTTAGCGATCTCTCGAAGGTACACACACACACACACACACACACACACGCACACACACACATATATATATATATAATTTGATCTTTCCTCTTTCCTCTTAATAATAACATAAACATTTAGACAATAAAAAATATTTATTTCAAGTTTAAGACCCTTTTTTTTTTATTCATGCTATGCTCTTTTTTAGGGATCTCTCGGAGGTGCCTAGATTTAAGCCTCTATTCTTTCTTCCGGCATATGTCACGCATGTGCGAAAACAAACATACAGACAAAAACGCACAATTATTTTTTCAAGACTACTTCGCCTAATTTCAGATTCCCACCCTAACTTTTAAACAAGTTAGCACACCAGAACTAGACGTTGAAACATGGATCTCATATGACCCATCCTTTTGACTTAACCACAGTGCCAGCGCATTATAATCATGTATAAAATCGGGTCATGTTGAAGAAATTCGTCGTCGGACGCAAGATAAACGAAGAAGGAAGTGGTTCAATTGTTTTTGCTCCGCCGACACGACAAAGCTTTTTGTCTTTAACAAACAATAGACACAAATGCGACACACTTCCGATGAATAAGTCGCTGTCTTTAAATTCTACTTTGAACTTTTTGTTTAAATTCCTTTCAGCATGCAAACAATTTAGTTTACTTACATACATATGTGCGTTTAGGTACAAATATTTAAATTATTTGATTTAATTTTAGATTGGTTTAAATAAAACGGTGATAAATATTGTTGTCAGAAAAAGAAAAGGAAAGAAAGAAAGAAAGAAAGAAAGAAAGAAAGAAAGAAAGAAGGGGAATCCAAAATAGATAAAGAGGATAAAGAAAAAGGAAAGTGTAAGAAATACGAACAGAAAGAAAGAAAGTAAAAATGAATAAATGAAAGAAGGAAAAAAGATAAAATAAATATATGAGTGAATGAAAGAAAGAATGATAGAAAGAAAATAAAAATGATTAAAGAAAGAAAAAAGAATGAATAAATAAATAAATAAATAAATAAATAAATAAAGAAAGAAAGAAAGAAAAAGAAAGAAAGAAAGAATAAAATGAATGAATGATAGAAAGAAAGATGATTTATTGGTAAAAAGAGACTTAACAAAAGTGTCAGGAGAAAATGTAAAAAATACAGTGTAACCCGGATATAAGAGAGTTGTCGGGACGGAGAAGAAGTCTCTTATATCCGGGTTTCTCTTATATCCGGGTTTGGTCTATTTTGTTTAGGTAAGTATGGGCTCTAATTTGGGACCAGAGAAAATCTCTCTTATATCCGGGTTTCTCATATCCGGGTCTCTTAAATCTGGGTTACACTGTAATAATAAACAAAAAGCCAAGAGAAAAGAGAGAGAGAAAGAGATAGTAAAAGAGATAAAGAGAGAAAGAAAGCGATAGAGAGAAAGAGAGAGAAATATATATATATATACATAGAGAGAGAGAGAGAGAGAGATAGAAAGAAAGAGAGATATAAAGAGAAATAGAGAGATATAGAGAAAAAGAGATAGAGAGAGAAAAGAGAGAAAGAGAGAGAGAAAGAGAGAAAGAGGAGGGGTGTAGGCGTGTACCTGTATACAGGTATTTCTTATCTCTAGTCTTTGGTGTTCTTTTACTGGTACATATGCCCCAAGCAAACCTTGCGTTTCAGTATCTCAACTAATCCACGGACAATTCTCCACTCACACGCCTCAGCCCTCAAAACAAGTTTACCCATACTTCCTTTTTTTTTCAGAACGTGCGACTATTCATAAAAATGAACGCTGGCGTGGATTGCTAGGTTGGATGTGTGTGTGGGTGGTGTACTGATGAGAGATTTTATGTCGTCCTGTATCACATGCTTCGATGACGATCATTTCTAACCGATTAGCAACCACCTGGGACAGATCAATATTGTCCTGTCGATATCCAATCAAAAGAAACAACAAGAAGGTATGGATGTGACGACGGGCAGGAGATTAAAATCTGTCTGTTAAGAATTTTTAGCAAAATGCGACGTAACGATACCTAACCCTGCCCTATTAAAACGACAAGATCGTGATAAACGAATGCCACATAAAATCAAAGATCCATTCTTCTTCTATGTACCGTGTCCCTTCAGGACCTTAGCGATCATGGCTCTCCACAATTTCTTGTTCATTGTAGTTTTAATACATTTTTTTGTTTGTGGTTTTTGTTATCTCTCCTAAACCGTCATCCATCGCTAGGAATCTTATGCATTGTTTTCTTCAGTCTCTCTTGCTTTCAATCTGTCCTGTGAGTATCAAATTTTCCAAGCCCTCTTTCCTCATTATTTTCCCTAGAAATTTCAGCTGTCTCTTCCTGATTTTGATTAGACTTGTCCTTTTAACTTCCTTTTCTATAAAACTTCGCCCGTGCTCAAATAGTTCGGTCCATCTTATACTCATCATCCTTCTGTAGAAACATTTTCTGTTGATTCTTTTTTCTTCTTCATCTGTGAGGAGATTGCCCAGCAGTTACTACCATATAGGAGGACTATATGTCACCTGAGTGAAAAAAAATAACCAGTCATCATCATCATTCCTATGACCAGTTGTGGCCGTAGGTTTGTTTAGCAGCTGAGCACCTGGCCAGTTACTTCCATATATCTGGGTTGAAATCCGGAGAAGTATTCATTCGTTTGTAGCGTATCTTAGGCAAGGAGACGTATCGTAGCTGATCCCTTTTCAAGTCAAAACACAGCCGATGTCGTCCATCTTGAAAGCTTGCCTTGCTCACGGTCCGTTGATTCCATCGAGTGAACCCTCCGACCGCACTGGCTACTTACATAGCTATGGAACTTAGTCCACGTCATGAGGGACTAGATGGTCACTGGCCCTACTGTCCATCGGTCATTTAACTTTTAATCCAACGCTCCTCACCAGAAAAGCCTCGTAGGAGAACCGGTTTAGTCACCAATGACTCGACCATGTGGCAGGTAGTACTGGGTTACATGATACCAGTAGAACTAGTAGAGTGATCTGACCTAAAGATTTTAGAATCAGTAAATGAGTGACATGTAGTCTGTTTTCAGGTTTTATGATTTTACTAAGCAATCTCCAAGAAATATTTCAGCATTTTAGGTGAATCCTTATTTATGTGTGTGTTTTTTTTTTTTGTTTTGTTTTTTCCGGGAGAAGCTTCCTCAGAATTCTAAACCGGTCACATGACTGCGTATTAAATGCAGTACTTGGACTCTCTTAATAACTTCATCCTCACAAATTATTTGTTTTATAGAAAAACGAAACGCAAAAAACGTTCATGTATTAGTTTATGTACTCCTGACAACAAACCTCGAAACAATCGAATTTCCTTGAACTCTTTGTTGATAAAACATATTTTTGCATACCATGTACACCATTGTGCAAATTAATTGAAACGACTGCTTTAGTTTCCTTTCTTTCACCATACGGTCAGTTTTAGACCCACTGGAGTGACAGGGTGTAATCGATTTCTATTTTTTCCTCAGATGAGGTCATTTGCAGTGGTGAACAGTAATATGAATCTATTTTCGGGGTCTATGATGAAATTTGTTTGGCTTTGAAAAATATTGCGTCATCCGCGATTGCATCAGATTTTTATCACACCCAGACACGATTGTCCTACGACCATTGACTGTGATGGACGTTACTCCAAGTAAATTACGAAAATTATAACGCTTCAAGAACACACTGGTAAGTCTTACCAGTGAGCAAATCAAAATACTATAGACTGGCCTGAGAACTCTCCTGATTTAAATCCAATCGAGAATCTGTGGTCTATCTGCAAAGAACAACGTCGTGGAATGGACATACGAAGTATTAACATGAGCACTGGGTCACGTTTCACTAGAAAAATACGAAGAAAAAGTAAATAATAACGGAATTATTCGTTTTGTTTCAATAACCTGCTGAAATAAACGTTCGTTTTTGGTAAATTTTAATCGGCCTTTGCGTCATTTACTGCATTTGTCCTAAGTAACAGAAGACAAAAAGTTATCCAATTTAGTCTTACTTCAAGATAAGCAGTAGGGTTAAACCATCAGGTCTACAACTGTCTTTAATTTTTAAATATATTTATATACTCTGAAAATAAAAAGGGATAGTTTAAAAGTAAATATAATTATTAAAAATGTAACTTTCACAGCGATTATATTTTTTGACTTTATACCAATTAGTCGAGAGTAAATATCTAAAGTATAACACGAGTGTGCCAATGATAACGACACCATTTTGAGTGTGAAGAGGCGATATCAAAATTCACCAAGTCACTGGAATGCAACGGCAACATCGACAAAAAAAACCCAAAAAAACACGGACGGGTTTATTTGGCTCAAACAAATTCATTGGATCGAATGAACTGGGCAAAATAGTCTATTGGAATTTGGGCAAAATATATGCTCATGTTACCATCAGTTTAAGCACGGAAGAAATTATTTTCAGAATGGTAACCACATCTGTGAGATTATTTTTTATAGTTTTATATTTTTTTATTTTCATCGGGCCAAATTAATAAAAAAAAATACGGAAAATGAAATTATTTTCGTATGCAAGAACATTCATTCTTTTTTTATTTTATAATTTGAAAAAAAGTATATATAGAGAGAGAGATTTGAACAGACTGAGAAAGACCGACAGCTAGCTAGCTAGATAGCCAGCTAGATAGATAGATATGAAAACAATTAGATAGATAGATAGATAGATAGATAGATAGATAGATAGATAGGAACATAAAATTAGGAACATCTATGATAAATTTGCTCAACTCAAATGTTTCAGTTGAACAAAGCTAACGTATTGATGTTGGTTGAAATAGTCTATACTCATGAGGTATTTTTGAATTTCCCTAAAAGTAAATTATATGCTCTGTAATAATAAATACATTGAGCTCTATTTGTGAATCAGTTTTAGTATTTTATATTATTAGGATCCACTTCGATGTATTACCTGTACTATATATATATATATATATATATATATATATATATATATATATATATATATATATATATATATATAGGTGTGTGTATGTGCGCAATTTCTAAAGAAGTAATGTATTTATTAATGCGATCCGACAGATATTAACACTTAAACGTTATTTAATATTTGTCTACCCATTTTTGAATAGACGCTCTGATTATTTGTTAAATAATATCTTTATTTATTTCTTATTGGTCTAAAGCAGGTCGGATCTAATGACAATTTCTCCTGCTAGGAGGGGGGACGCAGGTTCGAATCTTTAATAAGATTTCTCTAATATTCAGGCCGGCGGACGAAAATAAATAAATCTACTATTTAACAAATAGAGCGGAGCGTCTACTCAAATATGGGCATCCGCTAAAAATAATGTTTAAGTGATAATATATATCATGCTGTCAGTAATTATTACTCAGGGTTGGCAGCTTGTGACTTTTATGTAGTAAATCTACAAATAAATAAATAAATAAAGTCTCTAGCATTTTATGCATAATAATCTGAGAAAAAATCGTAAATTTGTTGGATTAGGTGCGTATTGTGCCACAGAAGGAACATGTAGCTGCAGATCTATTTTATTCACGGTAGCCACTGCCTACGTTACCTAACTAGACTTCTTTCCTGATATGATAGCTCTGTCACAGGCATTGAGCACTTTCCACCCATACCACACACATACTTATATGTGTGTGTGTGTGTGTGTATTTATATATATATATATATATATATATATATATATATATATATATGCGCGGTGC